TTGGGGGGGGTTCCTTGTTATAATTATAGTATAATGGACTCCAAAACCACATTCTAATTATCAAGGCCCCTACAGTAGCCTTGAACAAACATCCTTTAACCGCTCGATCTGCGAAAGGTCGCGAGTCGATTGTCGGTGAGGGGAAGCTGCTCCCTTCGGAGGCACCCGTCGGGTTTGTAAAGCGTCTCAAGAGTATCTCTCTTTAATGGTTCACAATAACTAGATAGATACGAAAACAAGTGAACAAAGAAACACATCAATACAATAAAGCACACACACACACACGCACGCACGCACGCACGCACGCACGCACGCGCACACGCACACGCACACGCACATACTCACCCACTCAGTCTTGACTCACTCACTCACGCAGGCACGCGCATGCAGGCGCATGCACGCACGCACGCACTCACTCGCCCACTCACTCTTATATTGAATGCTATGTGTATATATACATATACATGTATATGTCTCTTTCTATTGTCTGCCTACTCTGAGGAATGGCTTGCAGCGATTGTGAGTTTTGGGGCTTCTCCCCAGTTCAGACCATGGAGTTCAATGGATGTATGGTCTTGATCCAGCAAGCACCAGCGAGCTATTTTCTGCCCATGTTCTGCGTTCCTTGCATAGGTTGTTGGCACACCCTGTGTTTGTGCATGTTTGTGCTCGAGACCTCAGTTCTAAACTCTTATTTGCAGCAACTTTTTGCAGTTCGGAGTTTTGCGGGCACCGTGTAGACGCCGGATGGCTGCGACAGAGATGTTCTCGAAACGTAGCCCTGAACGGACTACGGTCATGGTCCCAACACTAGTCCTGTAATCAGATACTGGAACCCATGCTAGATCGTGACAGCAGATAGCCAAAGGAACAACACTGTCGACAGTGGGGTCATTAAAAGAACCAAGCCTAACCTGGACTGAACATGATCAATGTCAAGCAACGGCAGATTACAAGACATTGTCTGGCCAACGCTCCAGGAGGCTCATGGCGCCAGCGACGAACAGCTGAAGAGCAAGCTGTGCCTCGGTTTCTTTCGACACGGACTGCGGCGCGTATTCTAATTCCAGCACCCGAAACTGTCCACCGAGCCTCCTGCGACAAAAGTTTGGAAGCAAACCTGTGCTTGTCGAAACATGCCGTAGTAGTAGCGCTGCGGCAATTATTAGTTTTTGACCCCACATGTCTGTTTGTTTGTCTGTCTGTCTGTATTTATGTCCGTCCGTCCGTCCGTCCGTCCGTCCGTCCGTTTGTCTGTCTGTCTGTCTGTCTGTCTGTCTGTCTGTCTGTCTGTCTGTCTGTCTGTCGTTCTGTCTGTCTGTCTGTCTGTCTGTCTGTCTGTCTGTCTGTCTGTCTGTCTGTCTGTCTGTGTGTGTGTGTGTCTGTATGCATGTATGTTTGGTCATGTATGTAAAACCAGTGTATACTGATATCTGTACCCATCTATAACGACATCGTTATCTGAATCTGTGTCTGTTCCGATATCTATATCTATATCTGCATCTAGAACGAGATCTATATCGATATCTACACCTGTATTAGAACTATATGTACATATAGATATATATACACACACCTTAATCTGTATCCATAGCCATATCTTAAACATATGTGTATATATATATACCTACATACCTACATACATACATACATACATACATACATACATACATATACATTATGTGTATCGATCATTGTTCTTGTTCGTTATTTTCCTTTTTCTCTACCTGTATCCATATCTCTGTGTGTGTATTGGGCAGGTTGTGCTTTGCACCTCTGTTGTCAAGTACATGTTTGTGCAGGTTGGACCTTTTCGAGCGCTACCTGCAAAAGATGCTCAGCCGCGTCATCACACCGCTGGATACCTTCACGAAGCCACCGGAGGCCTTCGGCTGTTCCTGGGCAAGGCAGCTGGTGTCGCACAAGGCGGCCGCTTGGAAGCATGGCGCTTGATGGCGGCTTGGGCGCCGGAATGTGCAGATAATCATACATCAGAAGTATACGTTATCGTATATCTTTGTCACACCCAGTATGTCTGTTTAGTTCTGCAGGACCTCTTGCGTGCCCTTCGTAGCTGCGGCCAGCTGAGGTCACCGAGCTCTGGGGCCCGCGGATAGCCAGGCAGATTCCTGGGGAAGACTGGCTGGGTCTGGGCGTGGGCGTTACCGTCCTCGACAACACAGTGGACAAGGACCTTGTTGCGAAAGCGCGCCTAGAGTTGGCGGCTTCGGAAGAGGCCGGGCAGGTGACTCCGTCCAAGGATCCCTGCAACGTTGGGGCCCGCTCCGTGTGGCTTCACTTCGAGAGCCCGGAAGAGACGCTGCAGGCACCCCCAGCTTTGCGCTCGCTCTGCCAGCAGCTGCTTGGCCTGCCGGACGCCCTGCTCCGTGCGGCCGCTGCTTGCAGCCCCAACGAGGCCGTTGCAGCTCCCAGGCTTAGGGTGCACCCTCACATCATGGCAGCTACCTACCGCCGAGGGGCAGAGTACCACTGCCACAAAGACAGTTACAGTGGTACGGACAATCAGCGCATGGTCTCCGTCCTGCTGTACTTGAATGATGACTGGCGACCGGGCGATGGTGGTGAGTTGCGGGTTTATGGCGACAGGCTGGACGAAGAAGCCGCCCAAGCGCCGGAAGGCTTGCGGAAGGAAGCTGCCAGCATGTTCCTCGCCGCAGTTGCTCATGCCCTTTTGATTGTTAGTGGTTCAACGGTATGCACTTGAAAAGGTATGGTATGGGCTTCTTGCTTCAGCTCTGGCCCGAGAACAACAAAGGCCTGACATGGACAGGTTTGTCGACATCGCACCTTCAAGCGGGCGCATTGTCATGTTCCGCTCCCGCGATGTCTGGCATGCGGTTCGTGAGCCTCGAGAGCAGCGATGGGCTATGACTCTTTGGGTCATGGCAGATTAGCGGTAGGAACACTGGCCGCGACGCCCGCAAACTGTGGCAAGCAATGGCAGCCGCACTCTTGACACAGTGACGCACGCACACACACACACACACCCACGTTGTCCTGACAAGATTGCAATGAGAGTTTTGCAAAGCTTTTCCTGCCACTGCTTGTCGGGCATCCTCGGTCTTCTGTTTCAGCGGCGGTTGCTGTTCCAACACGGAGCCGTAGGGAAGCTTCCTTGAAACTGCGCGGGCTGCTCACTTCCTTGCACACTCGCACGGCTTAATTGCTTAGTGGCTGAGTAGGTAACCTTTAACTTTTTGGGGTTTATATAATCGTACCATAATTGGAAAGGTTAACCTTTTTTGGGCTAGGGTATTCAGCCCCTAAGATTGGCTTCCTTGCCACGAGCTCTCCTCAGAGTAGTGGCTCGTTCAATCTGGCGGAGCCGTGCTTGAATATGACTGTCTGGTGCTTAGTAGGGAATGATGGAATGGATCCCTATGATAGTCCCTTAAGGTCCCTTGTCGTAGTCCCTATAACCCATTCCCCCATTCCCTACTAAGCACCAGACAGATGATGCTTCCTCCAAGGCCGTGGCTGCCCAGACCTCAGTATGCACTCGGGATGTCAGATGTGGGAGTTCCTGAAGCCACAATTAGACATGAATAGACTCCTATAGAGGCAACTAAACTTTGAGAGCTCTTATGATACACACTAAACCCTATAAGGGGCCCCTATTTATGACTTTGCGAATCCCCCTGGTTCCAGCCGCGAAAAAACCCAGAGGCCCTTACCCCATTCAGCCTTAAACGCCTTTCTTCCTAGCCTCAAGATCCGATAGCATCTCTTACAACGTGTAACAATCATGACAATAATCCCTGTAGTGCTTTACATAACCCCGACACATCCCTACGAGAAACCTGCGAAGTCTGTCACAAAGCTTATAGTTAAAACCCACGGCAAGTACTGCAGTCTTCTCTAGGCCCTGAGCCCTATTTTAGCACCCCGTATAGCAAATCCTTTAGTGGCCCTTACCGTCCTCCTTCTCGAACCCACTTATAGAATCCCAAGCCCCGCAAGAGCCCCCCGAAACCCTAAACCCTGAGCCCTAAACCCTGAGCCCTAAACCCTGAGCCCTAAACCCTGAGCCCTAAAACCTGGGCCCTAAACCCTGGGCCCTAAACCCTGAACCCTAAACCCTGAACCCCAAACCCTGAACCCTAAATGGGCCCTAAACCTGAGGTGCTGCTGCTTGGCCCGGGCAAGGCTGCTCTGGGCCTCCTCAGGAGGTCTTCGGGGATTCGGGTTTAGAGCCTACCTTAAGAACCCCAAACCCACTTTTTTGTAGGTTCTTATTATAAACCCAAATATGGGATTCATAGGGACCCTACACAAAAGTAGGTTTTGGGTTCTTAAGGTAGGGTTTAGGGGTTTAGGGTTCCTTGCAAGGTGCTGTTAAGCTGCTCTTGATTCCATAGATTTTGATAGGGTTCGTAGAGGTTTCATAGGGATTAAATTAATTTGATTAGGGTTTAGTGTTGAACTGCTCTTGTTCCACAGTTTTTAATAGGGTTTGTACAGTTTTGTTGCAGGGTTGCATCTTGTTCTTCTTGCTTCAATCATGGGTTCTATAGGGGTCTCAAGGGCAAAAGCGTGATGTTGGGCGGGGGTATTGTGCGGTTGCACACTGGTTTTGAAAGGGGATGTTCAACGGGCTTATTAGGGAGTCGTACAGTGCTTGATAGTTGTTAACCAATGGGTGCGGGGATATGTTTTTTTTTTTTTACGAATGTTTATAGGGGGGTTATGGGATCCTTTGCTGGATTTTAGAAGGGAGTTCATCTAGCAGCCTTGATTTCATGTTTCTACTAAAGTCCTAGGAGATCCTGGGAGTATATCGTAGTGTATAGTGTATCTGCCGTGGCGTTCTGGGAGGTTCGGTTTCGAAGTTTCCAGACTTGGGAGTTTAGGGTTCACATTGGGGTCTGCCAATTGTGCGATTCAGGGCATCGTCATTTGGGTGTTTGGTGGGTTTCGGGGTTCCGGATGTGGCTTATGAGGCATTTGCCGCAGGCTTGAAGCTTGCCCTGCATGGTGCCTGCGGCCTCATACACAATATCAGTTGTGGTGTCTGGGCTCAGAGTTTAACGGTGGCTCTATATGGGGTAGCACAAGGCCTAGCAACACAAGATGTCAACTGAAACATCTGAAACTGGCTGTTTGCCGATATGCAACTGTCGGCGTATAGGTTTATAAAGGAGTGCGGTTGTTCATTTCGGAGGCTTTCCTGGTGCGTTCGCCCGTTATTTCGAATGGAAACTGTGTATTGGTCTGAAGGGAGTTGGAGCCGCACGCTTTCATTGCTTCGGATTCTTGAGGATTCCTGGTTTACGATAGATGCTGCGCAGGCTGTCGGGTTCGTTGGTTACGTGAGCAGCTGCAGTGTTCAGGCTCCACGGCTCACGGAGGATAGTTCTTGCGCATACACATTTAGTTAAATCAAAACCCTATAATAATATCAAAGCCATGGAAGCCAGTAATAAGGCCCCCACATAGAGCCCTTATAGTATCCCTTTTAAGGAGCCCTTTAAAGGAACCCTACTCCAACTATTAAGGCCCCTACAGTACCTGCTTGCCGTCAGCTTGGAGCGGCAAGCGGCTTCGAAGCGCCAGCCGAAGGGCTGGGAGTTGCAGGAGCACAAGGCCACCAGGGGATACCTGGGCTTAATTATAGGGGCCTTAGTAATTAGAATAGGAATTTGGGGGTTCCTTATGATAAATATAGTATGAAGGGCCCCCAAAACCCGCTTCTAATCATGCCCCTACATTACGCATGTGAAGGTTTAATGTAGGCTTTGAGGGTTAGAGGTTCGGGATTGCAAGCCTTGAGAGGTTTAATTGAGGGTTGGGGTTGAACGGCTGAGCTTTAGAACGTGGGTGCACTTGCTGGCTGACACTTAGAGCCCAGCTGCAAAAAGGGACGAGACTAGAGATTGATTCAAGGCGGCACAAGGACGGCTGCATTGTCGCGAGCCTGGGGATGCACCCAGAAGTGGTTTCAGCCTCCCTCAACCGGCGAGAACTGATGGGCCTCGATGCAGATTCTGGTGCAACATGTTCGAACCTGCTGCTATTAGTCGCCCTAATCACGTCAACCGCAAATCTGCAACCACGCTTGAGGCCGCGTTGAGGTATTACCATTGGGGCTTCCGGCTTTCCCAAAGTTTGAGAGATGCCGAAAAAGCTGGGGAGTTTGGAGACTTTTAGGTTTGAGTAGCCCCTTCCGACTCTGTGTACTAGTGTGAGATATCGGACAAGTGCATGGTGACCCACATCGGGCACACAAGTACCCTGAGAACATGGCAGATTGAGCCATACGACTCGAAGTCACCGGGCGAATGAGTCTAATGAGTCCTGCAAGCAAGCGAGAAGCGATGTTTACGGTGCATGTTTGAGAGATCCACCGGGAAGAGCGGTCTACTTAGAGATTCCTGTCATTCCGTTCTCAGCACTTCCGCTTCGTCCCACCATGGATGGAGCTGGGTACGGGGCTGCCCCGTCAGCCCAGAGTCCCGTCTGCACTTGCCCACCTTGTCTACCTATAGTCTCCCTTGTGGTTCCTTCTTTGGGTTTAACCAATTCTATATTTAGGATCCTATAAGGTAACCCCAAAAAGGAACTACAATAGAGACTATAGGTAGGATCCATAGTGGCAATTGATAGCAACTGTGGAGCAGGCAGTGTCCAAGACATGGAAGGTCGGTCGGGGCAGACCGTTAACCCTCGATGCGTTTGTGTGATCATGATTGCCAGTCATAATCCAGCATCCTCGCTGCACACCGATGAGACTCACTGCGCAGGTGACGGCATGGTTCGTATTGATCGCCATGCAAGATTAGGAAGAATGCAGCCGCCCATTTGACAGACTAGGGGGTGGGAATTTGCGTGCCTTTTGCCAAAGCCGTTGTCCCTCGCTCGAAGCCCCTGACGACCCCGAGCCCTGTACTCACAGCGCCAAACCCTAATCTCTATTGGGACGCCTTATACCTGGAGTAACTGAAGGACCCTTAAACACAATAATCTTGTGGTCGGCTCCGTCGCTTCAGCGTACAGAGATTGCTGAAGGTACATCCTAAGCCCTACCTCCGTTCTATTCCACTCAAGTCCCTCGCCGAGGAAAGCGCAGCCGACTGAAGTGCCTCGGTCGCCCAGGACCAGGACCTGTGCTAATTGCTTTTGCGTCCCTGCTAAAACTGAACAGCAGGAAACAGCCTACCCTGACTGCTAAGGGAGTCCTATAGGCCTCAGCGGTGAGATCCTCATCACAGTTAGCCGGTATTTGGGACCCCAACTGAATTATATTCAAGTGCCACCCAGGTGCCGCATTTCCGGAGCCTAACCCGCTTGGCTCGGAACATTCGCAGCTTCTGGCGGCCAAGGCTCATGGCCGTTTCGCGCTTCCCTCAGGGTTAACAATCATTCCAAGAGGCAGGGGTAAGGTATGAAAATATATTGTACATGATTCGGGATAACATTGTGTGTAAGAGGCTGCCACGGATGCTTGAGGATGTACAAGTCGGAGGAGGATTGGGATGTATTGGGGAGACTGCTGATCTCGGGCGGGAAACTACTCAAGACCCAATGTACGGAACAATGGTGCCCACAAGTAGCCACTTCAAGCGGGCTCTGTGCTCAGGGAGATTCCCAGAAGGAGCGCTGCGCAGCTGTCCACGGCAGCATGCTGGCTGCAATCAACAGGCTTTGCTTCAGTGCTGCCAGTACATACATGCTTTTGACCCATGACTTGTTTCGTGATTGCTCACCCCCTAAATCCTAAACCCTACTCTGACTCTTTTCTTACTACTTCGACGTCACGGCCTTACGTGTTTTTTTGTCGTGCGTCCGTGTCCGGCCAAGTCTAAAATCAAGACACATGGAGCTGCTCTGAGGCCAACGTTGGGAGTTGGGAGTATGGTATATGTATATACATATATATATATACACATTATAGATAGTGTACTATGGACCATGGAATATTAGAGTATGGTATAGTATATTACATTCAAATTCTCTAGTATATGCGAGCATGTGAGTCGGAACTTTTCAGCACTTGGCCTCCACGTGTCTCGAGCATCTTCTGCAAAGCGGACATGTTCCAACGGTCACAAATTGCTGCATCGTCTGCACCATGTGATTGTTCCAGCTCCGCAGCGAGGTTGTCCCTGTGTTGTCCTGAACACCCTATGACCCTTGGCATCCCTCAACTATGAAGCCCTAGTAGAATCCTAAAACCTGCATCCCAAAGCCTAGCCTCTTGTTTTATAAACCCCGCTGGAAGTCAGGAATTTGTCCGGGATTTCGTGGGGATGTCGCAGCCTGTGGTGCTCACAGATCTCTCCGAGACACACCTGCAACTGAGCATGGTCAGGCCAGCTATTCATCCTGCCACAACCCAGAAGAGCCTATCTTTTGTAGGTTATGGTAGCTTAAACTAGACTCCAAACTCCAAGCGGCAAGCCCGGATGTGGGGTTTGAGGTTCGGATTGCAGTCAGCAAACTAGTTACGCCGGAGTGTGGGTTTAGGCATGGTTAAGCTCTATGACTAGTTGCCAGTTGATACCCTTACAAAGCTTTCGTGCGGATGTATGTCTTGGCGAAAACCCAGATCCCTGCGCGTCTTACTGTACATAAAGCCGCCCTGAAACTCGAAATGAGCGGACGACCAAGGAGGAGGATTGGCCCTGCTTGGCGAAGTGGAGTGTCGACCACCTTCTGTCTGCTGCTGGGCGCACCGAGGTCTCCGTCAACGTGTGCCGAGGCCGAACCCCAAGCCCCAGTTCAAAAATGACTCCGAAGCGCTGCGGCTGGGTACCCTCTGCTAGTCCCGGACCGAGCCAAGGACATGACGCCCTGAATCCCGAAACTCAAACCCCTGAAGCATCTGCAGAGCCCTGACCCCGAAGCGATGCACCTGTTGGGTGCTGTAAGGATCAAGGTCTGGAGATTTGGACCCGCCAGCCTAAACTTGATCTTGGCGTTGTGCGATCCACATGCCTCGCCTGGAGTGTCCGAGTGTAAACGCCGAAACCCCCCTACCTGAGACCCTGTGTCGAGGAGCAAGAACCTCTTCTAAAGATGCCCTTCGACGGTAATCCTTTTCTTGAGCCTGTGTTCTTGGAAGTGTCTCACCTCATCCGTACGCACCAAGAGCCTCGCCTGGCTTGTCCGAGTGTGGGCAACGTACCTCCCTTTGAACCTCCAAGTAGGCTTTCATAAACCCTAAAGCCCTATCCTAGCCGAGGACGTCCAACGGCCGCGCCGACTCCGTGGACTCCGAGGGACGCTTTGTCCAACCCCTCGAGGCAAATCTGGCTGGGGGCGAGGGGGACGGGGGCTTTAGGCTGTATAGAATATGATAGTTCCCGGTCTCTCTCTCTCTCTCTCTCTCTCTATTACTCTATATGTACGTATTATGTTTGTACATCTTTAAGATACTTTTCCATTATGGTACTGCGTAGTAATATAGGGACTTTCAGAGAAGGGGCTTCTCGGAGTGGGTTTTTGCGAGGTGTTAAGGTTAAGGTCAAGGGCCATGGTTTCAGCATTTCGAGGTGTAGGGATTCAAGGTTCTATTTTTCGGGCTCGGGATTCAGTTTCCGGGGGTTCGGGGTTTAGGGTTTATATGATTCAATGCATTCAAAGGTTTTTGGGAGATTTGACAGTTTTGGCATGGATCTTTCTGCGGGCTTTCAGGTTGTCGCCGGAATGTTGCGTGCACCACATCTCGGGTCAGATGCGACAGCTCAGCCCTAACGACTTCTCAATTCCCGAGCCGTGGACAGCAGCTTGTTTTTCGAACTTCCTCCGGCTGGCCTGCCAAAAACACTTTAAGCCCAGAAGGTTAGGTTTTCCTTGTGAAGGCTCTTAAAGGAGCCCGTAGCCGGCAGGAGCAGATGCTCTTCGAGAAGTTCCTGAAGCATCTCCAAGAGAGGGACACCGGTGATGTCCTGTACCTTTCCAGGCGGGACGGTTTCGGGCTTGGCGCTTTTCAGGGGCTTCTGGCTTCTGGGTCGAGTATGCGGAGATTGGGCTGCGACGGATCTGGTAGAAGCGGCGAGGGAAAGACTCATTTTTCAGCGAAGCCGCTTTCTCAGGCCTGCTAGATTGAACCCCACGCCCACGCAGTTGTCTCCTGCCTGATATGCTAAATGTAGGGGCCTTAATAATTTATTAGAATAGGGCTTTTCCATGGGGTTTACTATACTATATAGTTGTAGTAAGGAACCCCCCCAAAAAAAATAGTAGAGGTAAAACTTTGGGCCCTTTTTGTAAGCCCCCTTAGAGGCATCCCGAACTCCCCGATGATCTCAGGCAGAACGACTCCTTGCGAGAGGAGTTCCCAGGTCTCCTTCCCGATGTTCCGGCTGCCATCCCACTGGCGCGCGAGGCCCCAAATTCACCGGACGTCGAGTTTCAGGTATGCAGAGGATTGCTACATGCCGTCTCGTTTTCGTTGTGTCATGTTGTGCAGTAAGATCGCAGAAATTTGGGGTCGATCGGCTCGGATTTCAGATTCGGGACTTCACAGAGTTGAGGAGCCGCCGAAAAGTGCGATGAAAGGTGTGCACAATCTCCCTGTCTCCTGCATCAGAGGCCTTTGGCAACGAGCCGGAGGCTGTGAACTTGTGGATGCTTGGGGTCGA